GGTCGCAGTCTCCAGCGTTCAGTGAATTCATTGTATTTATAAACTGCCGGCCGGATAATTACTTCTACCTCTCAGTCTGTCGGAAATTACTCTTAAAGGGGCAGTAAAGTAGAGTTGGGGGCCACGCCCTATACTGGGGGGGGGGGGGGGGGGGGGGTTGGTTCACACAGATACAAGGAATAGGAATGAATAGGATGACCTCCGAGGATCATAAGCTCCATCTAGTGGCCGGGATGTTGTACTTTTCTGAAATACCTCAATAGAAAAAATGTTTTAATGTGATGTAGGCAGCGAGACAGGAAGAGGGGCTGCAGGACAGGTGGGGGGCAACGTGATGGGGGGTGCGGGACAGGAAGAGGGGCAGTGGGACAGGTGGGGGGCAGTGTGATGGGGGGGCACAGGACAGGAAGAGGGGCAGTGTGATGGGGGGGCGCAAGACAGGAAGAGTGGCAGCGGGACAGGAGGGGGGCAGTGTGATGGGGGGGGCGCGCAAGACAGGAAGAGTGGCAGCGGGACAGGAGGGGGGCAGTGTGATGGGGGGCTCGGGACAGGAAGAAGGGCAGCGGGACAGGAGGGGGGCAGTGTGATGGGGGGGCTCGGGACAGGAAGATGGGCAGCGGGACAGGTGGGGGGCAGTGTGATGGGGGGGCTCGGGACAGGAAGAGGGGCAGCGGGACAGGAGGGGGGCAGCGTGATGGGGGGGCTCGAGACAGGAAGAGGGGCAGCGGGACAGGTGGGGGGCAGCGTGATGGGGGGGCTCGAGACAGGAAGAGGGGCAGCGGGACAGGTGGGGGGCAGCGTGATGGGGGGGGCGCAGGACAGGAAGAGGGGCAGTGTGATGGGGGAGGCAGTGGCACAGGAGGGGGGCAGTGTGATGGGGGGGCGCAAGACAGGAAGAGGGGCAGCGGGACAGGTGGGGGGCAGCGTGATGGGGGGGGGGGCGCAGGACAGGAAGAGGGGCAGTCTGATGGGGGAGGCAGTGGCACAGGAGGGGGGCAGTGTGATGGGGGGGCTCAGGACAGGAAGAGGGGCAGTGGTACAGGAGGGGGGCAGTGTGATGGGGGGGGCTCAAGACGGGAAGAGGGGCAGTGGGACAGGAGGGGGGCAGTGTGATGGGGGGGCTCGGGACGGGAAGAGGGGCAGTGGGACAGGAGGGGGGCAGTGTGATGGGGGGGCTCGGGACGGGAAGAGGGGCAGTGGGACAGGAGGGGGGCAGTGTGATGGGGGGGCTCAAGACGGGAAGAGGGGCAGTGGGACAGGTGGGGGGCAGTGTGATGGGGGGGCGCAGGATGGGAATATGGGCAGCGGGACAGGTGGGGGGCAGTGTGATGGGGGGGCTCGGGACAGGAAGAGGGGCAGCGGGACAGGTGGGGGGGGCAGCGTGATGGGGGGGCTCGAGACAGGAAGAGGGGCAGCGGGACAGGTGGGGGGCAGCGTGATGGGGGGGGCTCGAGACAGGAAGAGGGGCAGCGGGACAGGTGGGGGGCAGCGTGATGGGGGGGCGCAGGACAGGAAGAGGGGCAGTGTGATGGGGGAGGCAGTGGCACAGGAGGGGGGCAGTGTGATGGGGGGGCTCAGGACAGGAAGAGGGGCAGTGGTACAGGAGGGGGGCAGTGTGATGGGGGGGCTCGGGACGGGAAGAGGGGAAGAGGGGCAGTGGGACAGGAGGGGGGCAGTGTGATGGGGGGGCTCGGGACGGGAAGAGGGGCAGTGGGACAGGTGGGGGGCAGTGTGATGGGGGGGCGCAGGATGGGAAGAGGGGCAGTGGGACAGGAGGGGGGCAGTGTGATGGGGGGGGGCGCAGGACAGGAAGAGGGGCAGTGTGCTGAGGGAGGCAGTGGGACAGGAGGGGGGCAGTGTGATGGGGGGCCTCGGGACAGGTGGGTGGCAGTGGCACAGGAGGGGGGCAGCTTGATGGGGGGGTGCGGGACAGGAAGAGGGGCAGCGGGACAGGTGGGGGTGTGATGGGGGGGGGATGCAGGACAGGAAGAGGGGCAGCGGGACAGGTGGGGGGGCAGCGTGATGGGGGGGGCGCAGGACAGGAAGAGGGGCAGTCTGATGGGGGAGGCAGTGGCACAGGAGGGGGGCAGTGTGATGGGGGGGCTCAGGACAGGAAGAGGGGCAGTGGTACAGGAGGGGGGCAGTGTGATGGGGGGGGCTCAAGACGGGAAGAGGGGCAGTGGGACAGGAGGGGGGCAGTGTGATGGGGGGGCTCGGGACGGGAAGAGGGGCAGTGGGACAGGAGGGGGGCAGTGTGATGGGGGGGGCTCGGGACGGGAAGAGGGGCAGTGGGACAGGAGGGGGCAGTGTGATGGGGGGGCTCAAGACGGGAAGAGGGGCAGTGGGACAGGTGGGGGGCAGTGTGATGGGGGGGCGCAGGATGGGAAGAGGGGCAGTGGGACAGGAGGGGGGCAGTGTGATGGGGGGGCGCAGGACAGGAAGAGGGGCAGTGTGCTGAGGGAGGCAGTGGGACAGGAGGGGGGCAGTGTGATGGGGGGCCTCGGGACAGGTGGGTGGCAGTGGCACAGGAGGGGGGCAGCTTGATGGGGGGGTGCGGGACAGGAAGAGGGGCAGCGGGACAGGTGGGGGTGTGATGGGGGGGGGGATGCAGGACAAGAAGAGGGGCAGTGGGACAGGAAGAGGGGCAGTGCAACAGCAGGGGGGCAGTGTGATAGGAGGGGGGAAGCACCAGTCCTTCACGTTCTTACCTGTCCAACAGCGGCTCCCCCAGATGGTGTCAGGATCTGGTGTCAGGGGCGGTAGCTGAGCCTGTGTCCCGCCTCCTCCAGGATCTCTGCCTGCAGCTCCAACAAAGGGCGGGGGTGGGGGGGCTCCTCCACCCTGACCTCATCTTCTTCTTCCTCCTCCACAGGCCCTCGCTGGCACCTCCTGGCCTTGACCCTTGACCGCTCCGTGCGCACTCAGGGGATCCGCCCACCACTCCTCCCTCCTTTTTTTTTAATCATGAAAAGGGAAGACTGCCCCCAACTCCTGGTCCTCCCTATTGGTGGGTGTAGTTTTGGAGGGTCACTAAACCACATTATAAAAAACTCTCGATAAACGCCGTATTCCGCACCATTCACATTCGTCCGTCACTACAACAAACCTGGTTGATCCTTCTGCTCTCTATCTCCCCCTCCTGGCCATGTCCCCAATTCAGCTAGAGATTTTTCAGCTGTCGTGCCAGCTCTGCACATGCTCAGTGTCTCTCACGTCTTTCTAGGATGACCATTTCCTTCCTATGACATGTGAGCAGCCCATGTGACTACAGAATCACACATGTGGGCGTATACAACAGATGTAAAGGACTGCCCCTCCCTCCCTCCTCCTCCATGGGGGCGTATACAACAGTGGTAAAGGACAGCTCCCTCCCTCTCTCCTCCTCCATGGGGGCGTATACAACAGATGTAAAGGACTGCCCCCTCCCTCCTCCTCCATGTGGGCGTATACAACAGTGGTAAAGGACAGCCCCCTCCCTCCTCCTCCATGGGTGCATATACAACAGATGTAAAGGACTGCCCCTCTCTCCTCCTCCATGGGGGCGTATACAACAGATGTAAAGGACTGCCCCCTCCCTCCCTCCTCCTCCATGTGGGCGTATACAACAGTGGTAAAGGACAGCCCCCTCCCCCCTCCTCCATGGGGGTGTATACAACAGTGGTAAAGGACAGCCTCCTCCATGGGGGCGTATACAACAGTGGTAAAGGACAGCCCCCTCCCCCATGTGGGCGTATACAACAGATGTAAAGGACTGCCCCCTCTCTCCTCCATGTGGGCGTATACAACAGATGTAAAGGACAGCCCCTCCCTCTCTCCTCCTCCATGTGGGCGTATACAACAGATGTAAAGGACTGCCCCTCCCTCTCTCCTCCTCCATGTGGGCGTATACAACAGATGTAAAGGACTGCCCCTCCCTCTCTCCTCCTCCATGTGGGCGTATACAACAGATGTAAAGGACTGCCCTCCCTCTCTCTCCTCCTCCATGTGGGTGTATACAACAGATGTAAAGGACATCTCCTCCTCCCTACTTCTCCTCCATGTCCACCAACCAGCTAAACACAATGGAGGGGGCGGGATATTACATCTTGATTGACAGAGGCTTCACCTCCCTCTCATTCTAACAAGACGATGAAACTTTTTTTCTGAACTGTTTGTTTTTCTTCCCCTCCAATGTAAGGAATGAATTGTTCTATCAGAAGAATAGGGCTGGTGGCCCCACACCCGGGTGTACCGGGAGACTTTATATCGGGTACAATTCATTGATTATCCGGGTCACTGATAGAATGATATTCGGGCAGAAGATCCGTCCAATGAGATAAAAGAACAGCTTGGGGTTGGCCTGGCGCTGTACTGGCCGCTCCCGGCAGGGGTCGCTGCGAGGAGGCAGCGTCGCGTCTCGAAGGTATGGCAAAGACGTTGCGGACGCATTGATTGGCCAGGCAGAGGACGGCGGAATGTGATTGGACGGGCAGAGGACGGCGGAATGTGATTGGTCGGGCAGAGGACGGCGAATACTTTAATTGGCCGGAGAGATGACAGGGGACACTTTGGCTGGACAGAGGACGGCATCATGTGATTGGCCGGACAAAAGGAGAGAGGCCGCCTTGATTGGCAGCGGACTTTTATTGGGCGGGCAGATGAAGGCGGACTGTGATTTACCGAACAGGAAAATGCGGAATGTGATTGGCCGGGCAGAGAACGGCGAACACTGTGCTTGGCCGGACATTGGACAGTGGCGTGTGATTAGCCGGGCAGATGACAGCGGACATTGTGATTAGCTGAGCAGAGGACGGTGGCATGTGATTGGGCGGGCAGAGAGTGCAGGAATAGGATTGGCCGGGCAGAGAATGCCGGAATAGGATTGGCCGGGCAGAGAATGCCGGAATAGGATTGGCCGGGCAGAGAATGCCGGAATAGGATTGGCCGGGCAGAGGACGGCGGCGTCTGATTGGCCGGGCTGGCTTTCCGGGTGTGCACGTGTCCGGCGGGTCTGTTGGGTGATGGCGGCGGAGTGGCCGGAGGTGGATCGGGCGGAGCGGGAGCGGCGGAGGGAATTGGTCGTCCAGGGGCGGATGATCGGCTCCGGCAGAGTGACGGGCGGCTCCCCCCGGCTCTCTTCTCTCTCTCCCTCCTGAACTATCTGCAGGTCAGCGGCTGCGCGGAGCTCCGGGAGGTCCCGGAGGAGATCGGCCGCCTCACCCGCCTGCAGAGCCTCGTCCTGTGCCGGAACCGGCTGCGGCTCCTCCCGGGGGGGCTGGCGGAGCTCCGGGGGTTGAAGGTCCTGGACGTGTCCGGGAATGAACTGGAGAATCTGCCGGAGGAGCTCAGCCGTCTGTCCGATCTCAGCTCGCTGAACGTGTCCGGGAACCGGCTGGAGGAGCTTCCGCGGGGGCTGGGCCAGTGTAGCAGGCTGACCGCCCTCCACCTATCCGGGAACAGGCTGAGGACCCTCCCCCGAGGAGTGCTGAGCGCGCAGCTCCCCCTACTGGCCGAGATCATCGCCTCCGACAACCACATCCAGGAGCTGAGTCCCGACATCGCCCTCCTGTCCGGGCTGAAGGTACTGACAGCGATTTGGGTGACGGCGGGAGCAGGGCGCGCGATTTGGGTGACGGTGGGAGCGAGGCACGCGGATTGGGTGACGGCGGGAGCGAGGCGCGCGGATTGGGTGGCGGCGGGAGCGAGGCGCGCGGATTGGGTGGCGGCGGGAGCGAGGGCGCGGGATTGGGTGGCGGCGGGAGCAGGGCGCGCGATTGGGTGACGGCAGGAGCAAGGGGCGTGACTGGGTGATTAGGTGACGGCGGGAGCAGGGCGCGCGTATTGGGTGGCGGCGGGAGCGAGGCGCGCGATTTGGTGACGGCGGGCGCGTGATTGGGTGAGCTGCACCATAAAATCTGATTGGATGATCTGCCTAATCTTTAGCATAGATCCTACAATCTGATCATATCAGAGGGTGGGGTGATAGATCAGCCGATTGGGGGAGGAGTAATAAATCCGCTTCCTAATGACTTACAAAACTACATCTCCCATGGTCCCCTGCTCTGTCCTCAGTCATTGTATTGCAGTTCTGTCTAATCCAAGGGTCTCCAAATTGCGACCCGGGGGCCTGATGTGGCCCTTTGCTTGCCTTTATATGGCCCTTGGGGCACCATTCCTTCTGCTGACGCCAAAGCTGGGGCATTTTATGCTCCCAATGGCCACAATCCTGGCCTCCTAAAGTTGGGAGACCCCAGTCTATGCTTTCGTGAAAGAACCCCTCCCCGGGCACCCTTTAGACCTGCATATTCCAGGGAGGGAGCTGGCTTTAGCTATGCATTGTACACGCCAGTTGCTTGGTTACACTCTACAGACCGGCTTCTGTGACCGCAAACATCGGATCAGCATAGATGAAGTCTGCGCCCTCCAGAGGCCAGCAGGGGGAACATGCTCATCTAAAGGGATGCTGGGGATTTGTTCTTTCACCAGTGCTAATCGTCCCTCATTACATACACTGTCTAGTCTCAGGATATGTAATTTGGGGTTACAAAGGGAGGAACTCAGACAGCGGAATCATTTGTAGAGGTGGGTGTAAAGAGAACGAGCCAAGGGTCCTCCGGGACGATCTTTATGTGGACTGAATGTTCTCAGAATTGTGAAGAAACAACTAAAAACTTTAATCGCATGTTACTGTTTACATTTTCCCGTCGTTGGGCTGTAAAGTTCTTGTCTCCGGCATTCTCCATGCGTGTCGGTGTGCTGACCCGTATCTCCAATCTCCCCTCCCCCGCAGACTCTGGATCTCTCCAACAACGAGCTCTCCGAGATCCCGGCCGAACTCGCCGACTGCCCCAAGCTGAAGGAAATCCACTTCAAAGGCAACAAACTGAAAGACAAGAGGCTGGAGAAGATGGTGAACGGCTGCCAGACCAAGTCCGTCCTGGAGTACCTGCGGGTGGGGGGGCGGGGGCAAGGGGGAGGCGGAGACCGCGGCGAAGGAGGAGCCTAAGGACCGGAGGAAGAAGAAGCCGCAGAGACAGAGGAAGGACGGGGGAGGGGAGAAGGACGGCGAGGTGGAGGACGTGGCCAAGATGATGCTGAGAGTTCTGCACGTTTCCGAGAACCCGCTGCCCCTCGCCGTCGCCGTCCGTCCCGCCATCAAAGATGTCCGCCCGTATATCGTGTGCTGCGTGGTGAAGGGGATGAACCTGACGCCCGGCAACGCCCTGAAACGTTTCCTGACCGCCCAGGTAAGAAAATCGCAAAACTGTCCTCTGGGGTTCGTTTTTGTGTCCTTGTTAGCGGGGGGAGGGGCAGAAGGGGGCGTGTTCTCTGGGCGCTATCATTATGTAGTTGTAGGGGGCGCCCTGAGGACTTGCTGCGCAGCATCTGCCCTGTTGTGTCCAGTGGGGGAAGGGCGGGCTATGGCCAGCATGGGGCGCAGCGGGGACCGGGCGGGATCTCCACCTCTGCACTGAGGACTTGCTGTGCAGCATCTGCCCTGTTGTGTCCAGTGGGGGAAGGGCGGGCTATGGCCAGCATGGGGCGCAGCGGGGACCGGACAGGATCTCCACCTCTGCACTGAGGACTTGCTGTGCAGCATCTGCCCTGTTGTGTCCAGTGGGGGAAGGGCGGGCTATGGCCAGCATGGGGCGCAGCGGGGACCGGACAGGATCTCCACCTCTGCACTGAGGACTTGCTGTGCAGCATCTGCCCTGTTGTGTCTAGTGGGGGAAGGGCGGGCTATGGCCAGCATGGGGCGCAGCGGGGACCGGGCAGGATCTCCACCTCTGCACTGGGGGCTCCCATGTGTGCGGTTCTGGATGCGTCTCTGCATTCCCCTTCTCCTGTGGGGGTGTCTGCAGTCCTGGCTGGTGGCCTGTTACTGGAGGGAGGTGGGAGGGGGTGTGTATTGGGGTTCCCTCTGATCACCCCCCCCTTCAATTCTCCTGGCTGGGGGGGTACCTTTAACTGGAAGGAGGCGGGTTCCTGTGTTCCGGGATGGTGGTCCTCTCTGCTCACACCCCCCCCCCCCCTTCCCTCAGGTTCCTGTATCTGGGGATATGAGGGGGGGGACTCCTGTACTTGTCAGGATGGAAGGAGGGGCCCCCTCTGATCACCCCCTGCTCTCTTCCTCTTCAGGGATCTCCTATTGTAAGGGGTCCCTGGATGGGAAGGAGGGGTCTCTTATCACCCTCCATGCATTCCTGTTTGGGGGGGGGGGTCCCCTCTGATCTCACCCTTGCAGTCCTGTTTGGGGGGTCAGTATTCCTGGATGGGAGGGAGGGGTCCCCTCTAAGCACACTTCGGCACTCATTCTGTTTGGGGGTGTCCTATCAGTATTCCTGGATGGGAGGGGTCTCCTCTGATCACCCTCCATGCACTCCTGTTCGGGGGGGGTCTTATATTGTAGGGGGTCAGTATTCCTGGATGGATGGGAGGGGTCTCCTCTGATCACCCTCCATGCACTCCTGTTCGGGGGGGTCTTATATTGTAGGGGGTCAGTATTCCTGGATGGATGGGAAGGGTTCCCTTCTGTTGACACCCCTGCACATGTCCTGAATGGGGGTCTCCTTCTACTGGAGGGGGGCTGTATTCCTGGATGGGAGGGAGGGGTCCCCTCATCACCCCTCTGCACTCCTTGGTGTCGGGGGATCTGAATATTTACCCTCTACACCTGGAAGTGGCAAATGCACGAAAAACACACAACATGCGCTTTCTGCAGCGTCTTTATTGAAGTCTATTGAACCAAAAATGCAACATTTTGCATTTTAAAAAAAAAGTCCCCGCCCCTTTCCAAAAACAAATCCGCTCAAAAAGGATCGAGGTGACCGAGTCCCACAGGAAACATGTTACATGGAATGTAGTGAGTTGCTGAAAAAAGCTCTAAAAAATGAACCCGGCCTCAATGTGGGGTTGAGGTCAGGACTCTGTGCAGGACAGTCAAGTTCCTCCACCCCAAACTGGCTCCTCCATGTCTTTATGGACCTTGCTTTGTGCACTGGGGGGCAGTCATGTTGGGACAGGAAGGGGCCATCCCCAAACTCCTCCCACAAAGTTGGGAGCATGAAATTGTCCAAAATGTCGCCTTAAGAGTTCCCTTCACTGGAACTAGGGGGCCAAGCCAACCCCTGAGGAACACCCCCCACCACCATAATCCCCCCTCCACCACACTTTACACTTGGCACAATGCAGTCAGGTAAGTACTGTTCTCCTGGCCACCACCAAACCCAGACACATCCATCGGATTGCCAGACAGAGGAGCATGATTGGTCCCTCCAGAGAACACGCCTCCCCTGCTCTAGAGTCCAGTGGCGGCGTGCTTTACACCACGGCATCCGACGCTTTGCATTGCACTTGGTGATGGAAGGCTTGGATGCAGCTGCTCGGCCATGGAAACCCATTCCATGAAGCTCTCTACGCACTGTTGTTGGGCTCATCTGAAGGCCACACCAAGTTTGGAGGTCTTTAGCTATTGACTCTGCAGACAGTTGGCGACTTCTGCGCACTGTGCGCTTCAGCATGCGCTGACCCCGCCCTGTCATGTGATGTGGCCTACCACTTGGTGGCTGAGTGGCTGTTGTTCCCAGTGGCTTCCACTTTGTTATAATCCCACTAACAGTTGAGCGTGGAATATTTAGTAGCCAGGAAATGTCACGGATGGACTTATTGCCCAGGTGGCCACCTATCACGGGACCACGCTTGGAGTCACTGAGCTCCTGAGAGCGACCCATTCTTTCACCAATGTTTGTAGAAGCCGTCTGCATGTCTAGGGGATGATTGTATACACCTGTGTCCATGGAGGGGATTGGAACACCTGAATCACATGATATGGAGGGGATTGGAACACCTGAATCACATGATATGGAGGGGATTGGAACACCTGAATCACATGACATGGAGGGGATTGGGACACCCGAATCACATGACATGGAGGGGATTGGAACACCCGAATCACATGACATGGAGGGGATTGGAACACCCGAATCACATGACATGGAGGGGATTGGAACACCTGAATCACATGACATGGAGGGGATTGGAACACCTGAATCACATGACAGGGAGGGGATTGGAACACCTGAATCACATGACAGGGAGGGGATTGGAACACCTGAATCACATGACAGGGAGGGGATTGGAACACCTGAATCACATGACAGGGAGGGGATTGGAACACCTGAATCACATGACAGGGAGGGGATTGGAACACCTGAATCACATGACAGGGAGGGGATTGGAACACCTGAATCACATGACAGGGAGGGGATTGGAACACCTGAATCACATGACAGGGAGGGGATTGGAACACCTGAATCACATGACAGGGAGGGGATTGGAACACCTGAATCACATGACAGGGAGGGGATTGGAACACCTGAATCACATGACAGGGAGGGGATTGGAACACCTGAATCACATGACAGGGAGGGGATTGGAACACCTGAATCACATGACAGGGAGGGGATTGGAACACCTGAATCACATGACAGGGAGGGGATTGGAACACCTGAATCACATGACAGGGAGGGGATTGGAACACCTGAATCACATGACAGGGAGGGATTGGAACACCTGAATCACATGACATGGAGGGGATTGGAACACCTGAATCACATGACATGGAGGGGATTGGAACACCCGAATCACATGACATGGAAGGGATTGGAACACCCGAATCACATGACATGGAGGGGATTGGAACACCCGAATCACATGACATGGAGGGGATTGGAACACCCGAATCACATGACAGGGAGGGGATTGGAACACCTGAATCACATGATTTGGGGGGCGGGGACAATACTTTTGGCACTATAGTGTGTGTCTGTAGATGGAGGTGGAAGTCGGCGCTCTCTCCTGCCGCCTGTTGGCCATCTTCGGTATTGCTGGTCACAATGATTATTTCTTTGCAGACGAAACTCCATGAAGACATCTGTGATAAGAGGACGCTGGCCACCATTGCCACCCATGACCTGCAGCTGGTGAAGGGGCCCCTCCTGTACGATGCCAGACCGCCCACAGAGTTCAAGGTGAGCCATGATTATTCCCTGCGGGAACGTCCGGGGTCCAGGGGCCCCGCCAAGGTTTAGGTATAGATTGGAAACAGATGAAATGTATTGAAGTCAAAGGATTTTTTTTTTTTTTTTTTCCACTTATTGGCATGTCGTGATCCTGCTGGTATCTCACATCCTGCCCTAGGGGGCCACAAACAGGACTTCCGCTTAAGGGGTCTTCACACTGGGGGGGGGGGGGGGGGGGGGGGGGGGGGGGTAAAACAGGTAGTTGACAAGCTATGGCCTCTTGTAGTCGTTGCCTGTGCTGGCCCTGGATCCGTGGCTCTTCCAGTCTTCCCCGTTCTCTCCCTCAATCTTCCTTCTTTCTGTTCTGATACTTTTTTTTTTTTCTATCAGTTTGGATTGTTCCCGTATGTTCTGAGCTGATACCTCTCGGTGGGGTTTGTCCTCTGGGGGGGGGTTTTCGGTCATATGACGGATTGCTGCTGCTACTGTTTGGTTCGGCTTTTTGTCACCCCCCCCCCTTGGTATCATTGGACGTTCCATTATTTGGTTAACGCCCCCTGCTGACTTGTATCTGCTTATGTATGCTATTGTTCCGCTCTGCGTGGGCGTGTCATCGGCTTGTATTAGAAAAACAAAAAATTCTTTAATAAAAATATTGAAATAGAGAACAGGCAATTCAGCAGCTGGACGGGGCACAGACCACCACAACAAGTACCCCCCCCCCCCTTTTTTCCCCAGTATAATCAATACTGTCACCCCCCCCCCCCCCCCCCCGAGCTACACTCGGGAATACACTGCAGCGTTGCTCCGGGATCTGTTCACTTACCTTGTCCTGCGCTCCCGCGATGTCCCCCCTGCAGTGTCCCCTGTAATGTCCTCCGGCCAATGCCGGCATCTGTCTTCCGGGTTCCCTTCCCTGCGACGTCATGACGTACGGGGGACAGAAATGGCGGGAAATGTGAAAAAGTGCCATTCACTAAATACATTAAAATCTCATCGTATAACATTCCTGTATCAAACCATTTCACATACATTGTGTCCCGAGTGCTTTGTCCTGCGCCCTGCCTGCATTTTTACCGCCCTTTCTGCCTGAAAACTGAGAAACGTCCATGGCGTCCAAAAAGCGTCCCTTTAGGTCAGACGCGGTTTTAGACCGGCTAGAGAACAGCGATAGGAAATCAGAACCACTTGCAGAATTGAGTGATAATGATTGGTGGGGGAAATTCCTCATCAGACACTGAAAACGATTCTGCGACTGAGCTCAGCGATGGGCGAACTTGGCGCTCTATTTCACATTTCAGTGTTTTTGGTTTGATTATATTATTGAATTACATTTATTATTATTATATTATTATTTTTTATGATTATTTATTCAATTATAATTTATGATTTCGTGTTTCAAATTTTATCCTCCCCGGGATGTTTACTAGACTCTTGTCCGGACAGATTTCAGGGAGTTATTCCTAAGAATTACAGGCCGACAAATAAAAAAACAACATATTTCCATGCAAAAAAAAGTACCGCTTTGAGCACAGAAATACAGACATAATCAGACCACTAGGGAGGTTACACATAAATCTAAGAAAGTGTTTTTTTTTTTTTTGTTTTTTTTTTTTCTGTGGACTGCAAACCCTCCTCCCTTCCTCTTTATAACCTATGGGGGGAGGGGGGGTTCTGTAGTCGGCAGAGAAAACTGGGAAGGCCTGAATCCTTGTCTGAGGTCTGTATGTTGTAGATTTATTTTCTAGTTGTGCAGTAACAATATTCACCAGCAGAGGGCGGCATCCTCACATTCTGGATTGAGCAGACAATAGGAGTACAGAGGGCGGGACTTCACATTCTGTATAGGAATCCCTGGCTGTCCGTCTTCAGTGGGCAGGAATATAGCGAGCAGAACGTGTCCAGAAGATTGATTGAAAATCACCCAAATGTAGGAACCCCTGATAATGGGCACAGCGGGTGCACAGACCCAGGAACTCGGCACAGGGATGATGGGAACCCCTCATAATGGGCACAGCGGGTGTACAGACCTGGGGAGCTCCGCAGAGGGACGGTGGGAACCCCTCATAATGGGCACAGCGGGTGTACAGACCCGGGAACCCCTCATGGGCACAGCGGGGTACAGACCCGGAAACTCAGCACAGGGATGGTGGCAACCCCTCATAATGGGCACAGCGAGGGTACAGACCCAGGAACTCAGCACAGGGATGGTGGGGACCCCTCATAATGGGCACAGTAGGTGTAGAGACCCAGGAACTCAGCAAAAGGATGGTGGGGACCCCTCATAATGGGCACAGCGTGTGTACAGACCCAGGATCTCAGCAAAGGGATGGTGGGGACCCCTCATAATGGGCACAGCGGGTGTAGAGACCCAAGATCTCAGCAAAGGGATGGTGGGGACCCCTCATAATGGGCACAGCGGGTGTAGAGACCCGGGAACTCAGCACCCAGGATATTCAGGCCTTCTGCAAGGTACTTTCAGAGTCTTGGCCCTTCGTTGTGGTTGTTGGACCCGCTGGCCCAGTCCTTTTGCCTTGTTGCTGAGCTTTGTAAGGCCCCCACCCGATCTTCAGTTCTTGCTTTCTCCAGGTTTTATCATGTTGGGTTTTCAGGCCTTTTGACTGTCGGGTTCTGTTAACGGCACTCCAAGTTGGGTCTCCTGACTCTTGTTGTTGGACCTTCTGGCTGAGTCCTTTTGCCTTGTTGCTGAGCTTTGTAAGGCCACCAGCCGGTCTTCAGTTCATACTTTCTCCAAGTTCTATCCGGTGGATATCAGGGCCTTCTGCTGCAAGGTTCTTTCAGGGGTTTTTGGCCCTTTGTCGTGGTTGGACCTGTTGGCCCAGTCCTTTTGCCTTGTTGCCAAGCTTTGTAAGGCCACCATCTTCAGTCATTGCTTTCTCCAGATTTGATCAGGTTGGGTGTCCAGACCTTTGATTGCCGAGGTCTTTTCACGGCACCGAGTTGGGTCTACTACTGTTGCCAAGCTTTGCAAGGCCATCACCTGGCCTTCAGCTTATACTTTCTCCAAGTTTTACCTTTTTGATTGTCCAGGATTTTGGCTACCATGTTTTTTCAGGGTCTGTTGACCTGCGGTGGTGCTGTTGGCACAGTTCTGTTTGACTGGTTGCTCAGTTTGTTTGGGGAAGTCCCAGGGTCCATGAATACTCAGCCTGGATGGTGGTGGTGATGGTATCATACTGTACTCTATATCTTGGAGTTCATTAGAGGATACAGACTGCCCTCCTCTCTGTTCCTACAAAACCGAGGACCCCAGAATGTGGCCAAGGGTTATGGGGGGGGGGGGGGGGTTTGTGCCCGGCAAAGCATTCAATGTCCAACCACCTGAAGGTACCTATAACCCGCGGTCTATGAATACTCAGCCTGGATGGTGGTGGTGATGGTATCATACTGTACTCTATATCTTGGAGTTCAGTAGAGGACACAGACTGCCCTCCGAGGACCCCAGAATGTGGCGAAGGGTTATGGGGGTGTATGTGCCCGGCCAAGCCTTTACCAATGTCCAACCACCTGAAGGTACCTATAACCCGCGGTCTATGAATACTCAGCCTGGATGGTGGTGGTGATGGTATCATACTGTACTCTATATCTTGGAGTTCAGTAGAGGACACAGACTGCCCTCCGAGGACCCCAGAATGTGGCGAAGGGTTATGGGGGGGGGGGGGGGGGGTATGTGCCCGGCCAAGCGTTTACCAATGGCCAACCACCTGAAGGTACCTATAACCCGGGGTCTATGAATACTCAGCCTGTGTCCTGTACTGTCCTCCAAGATCTGGAATGAACAGGTAGGTCCTCTTATTGTTGGTCATTGAGGAGCTCCTCTGAAATGAACACCTCATTCTACTATTGTGAACTTTGCTGGGCCTCCCGCAGCCTCTCATACATGACAATTAACACGCCACGATCTCACACCAGATGCAATTACAGATCCTCTTATGTTTGCCGCCCCCGGGGGGATTAGTTTACTCCGACCTGTCAGTCACGGAACGCCTGGATAAAAGCTAGCCTGGTGTCACCTTCTCCACCCTGATCTGGCACTTCCTATGGAGGTAGACAGGTGTCAGTACAGCCCTGAGCCAGACTTCTCAGAACTGCTTTGTGTCCCCACAATGGCCGGCCTGGTTTCCTGTCGCTGTACAATGAGGAGTGCGGTGCGGGCCGTACGGTGCGTACACGGAACCTCCCGGGCACGGCGCCAACATGCCGCGTCCTCACTGGAAATCCTCGCTTGTTGTAGTTGGGTTTCGGTGAGAGACCGGCGGATCCTCAGGCCGGTGCTGCCAGAACTGAACAGGAACCAGCCAGAACTTGGGCCTCTTGCACACAGGGGGCTCTCTAGGCGCAGTGCGACCCGTCCGGTGTGGTAGTGCACCCAGGAGGGAGAGGTGCAGCTCGGGCCCCTGCTGCAGGCGCAATGCCAATGTCTATGGTGGGGTGTGGTTGGCCAGGACTAAAGGATGGCACCCGTGTTCAGGATTCTGCGCCTCCAAAGTTCTTCCAGTGTGACTTTGGAGAACAACTTCTGATGTGATTTGTGTGTGCGACTTTCATCGAACGTTATGCGCTGGACTAAAGTCACATCGAAGGTTGTACCAAAGTGGTGCAGGAACTACGTTCAAGGCGTTGTGACTCGAAGTCGCAGTCAGTGGGGAACATGGGGTCTGACTGGTCCTTCGATTTTGGACTCCAAAGTTGCATGGCGAGTTGCAGATGTGTGAGCGGACTCATTGGGGGGGGGGGAATCAAATAAAAGGTGTACACAATTGCGACACAAGACACATTGTAATTGAATGTTGTTAAAAATTCCCTTTCAATCTGCAGCCACTGTCATTTTTTTGTCAAATACAATATGGCCGCCTGGAGGCATTCTGCACACAGATGGTATACAGAGCCCCCTCAGCCCAGAAATGTCATTTCCCTCTTTTCCCAGAAGTCTGCATTAAGATACAAGTCAGATATTTGGCATCCCCTGCAACCAAAATGTCCCAAAG